TTGATCTAGCGCTCTGACCTTGTAACTAGTGTTGCTCGCTGAACGTGCAGCAATGACCGCTCCGGTAGGGGGCGTGTTGTCGACGCGAGCACGAGGGTCTTTATAAAAAACCATAGGTACTCTCTCATTCATCCTATTAGCGGCTGCTACGGCAGCTTCCGTTACGACTGACTCCATCGCGATACGCGGCTGGGACCTCAGCTTCGTAGTCTGATCGTAGAAGGAGTTTCCCTACTTCTTCGTGGGCTTCGTCCTGGCCAAATCGGGAACGGACAGATGGCCTAGTTGAGTACAACGTGCTGACCGATTGTTGTTCGTCAGATTGCAGGAAAATCTTCCTCATGGCATTGAAGTATTCCTTAATGTGCGAATTACAGACTTGGCAACGTCGTTGTAGTACTACAAAGGTAAGCAGGATATCTTTCTTGTTGGTGTGCCAGGCTAACAAGTGTAGCATCTTCCATTCTGGGTCGAAAGCGAAGAGTTGACGGTCGCCTTCTCCCAAAAGAGTCTGGAAGGCACGAAGGATTTGGTACATAGCTAAGTAGAGTTGAGCTATTTCCTCCAGTAGAACGGAAGGTACCGAGTAGTATTTCACTGAGTCCACTGTGAGCTCATGGATGTATTCCGGGGTTAAGCGAACTTGAGGAAAGCTGTCGATCATCGTAGGGAGGTTAACCCATAATCCCTGGACGTGAGGCGCTGACCATCGCCATAAGAGGTCACGAATTCCTTGAGAATCCTCCAGGGATTTCCCAGGGAGCTTCCCGTCGATGCCGCCGAAGAAGATCAGTGGGTCGACTGGTAGCTACCACTTACATCATGTACTCCTGAGCTGTACCATAGAAGTTCCTGCTTAGCTACCGTGAATGAAATGAAATGAATTTTCATTCATTCACGGCACCTGTTTCATTCTAGATAATTTATTCTGTTTCATTCATTCCTGGCGACTGTTTCATTTTTTTCTTTCATTCCACCAGGGCAACTGTTTCATTCCTTGCTTCATTCTTCTCAGGTGCCTATTTCATTGTTAGAGCTGGGAAAATGATTATGTAATTGATACAAAATATTTAAGTGCCTTATTTGGCAACAGCATGCCTATCTCATTGTGTATTTGAGCCTCAAATGCAAAAGTACCCCCATATGGCCTCCCACACCACTGCAGTACGGCACAACACATATCAGGCATAATTGTATATTATTTCCTTATTTAGATGTGTGTTAAAACATCGAAATTGTTGCCTGAAAGAATGAAACAAAAATGAAATAACTGCCTGGAAAGAATGAAATGAAAATTCCATGGCAATGAATGAATG